GTGCTAGGAGGGAAGGCTTCAAAACCACCTGGGGCTCCACTGCTGCTGAAACAAAGGGCTCCTTTGTGTGCTCCTACACAGGGCACCTTCCCTGGGAGAGCTGTTTGCAATCTGGGTCTTCTCACCTGCAGCCGAGACCATTTCTCAGGGACACAAAGCCTGCGCTGGTGGAGATCGTGTTGGGGCAGGATTTGAGCTGGACAGTTGCAAATTAGCATTACATTCATCCCTGCTAAAGGACCTAGAGCCTAATGCCAGCTTTTGAGCTTTTTCCAGCTGCTTAACCAGTCAAGCCTGGTCAGACACCAGTGCTGAAGGATGCTCTGTTTGCATTGCAATTCCTTGTTAGGGTTCTTCACTCTCTGTTGAAGAGGACCCTCTGTTCCTATTGCTCGACTTTTCCATCCATGTTGTAGAAAGGTTTCCCTTAGGGAAACCACCTTCGGCTTCCTGAGGCAGATGTCTTTTTTCTTTCTAATGAGTGCCCTTGGAGCTTGCTTGGAATTCTTGGACTGTGCAATGTTATTGTAAAAAATTTTGATTTTTTTTTTAATTGCTTCTACCTGTCTCCAGTCATATTGATATTCTGCAGCAGCCTCTGTGAGAAATAAAGCAATTCCCTTGTCTTCCTGATCAGTAAGACTTTTTGCTCCCTCATATTCCACTGTAGTGACAAAAGGTCACTCAATGGTGACAGTGAGATCTTTGAATCTGATCTTCGTCAGGAGGACAGTTTCCTCCATTGCATTTGGTTCCAGGTTTTTCCAATTTCAAGTCGGAGAATGTCAGCCTAATTCCAGCCAAATCTTACCTGGTTTCCTAGCATACATTTAAGGGGAGACATGGCTCACATCACAAAATGAGTTACTAGAGCTGCCTCATCCATGAGCCCTGAAGGTGTATCTTTGATGTGGTGCTGGAAGATGTGAATTATTTTCCCTTTGAGGATGTCAGGGACAAGCAAGAGAGTGCAATATTCACCAGAATCTCCTGCTGGAGATCTGTCTTCCTGTGACTTTAGCTCTATAATAGATTCACATGCATTGAATGACTGAAGTCCCCCAAGGCAGGAGATCTGAGGTTATCTCAGAACTTTTTTTTCAGGATTTGGGATGTGCTGGGGTCAATCTCTCAATCTCCAATGACAGCTACAATAGCTTCTTGCTCCCAGACCAAAGCTGGTGCTCCCTTACATGTGTTCTTGATCACATAGCGGAGACCTGTGCTGAATGCCCCTTCCCCGTCCTCACTTCTGTTAAGGACAACCAGCAATGTAACAGGAACACCATAGAAGAGAAGATCTCTGTTCACTAAAGCAGGAGTCTCTGCCCTCTAAAGTATTTGCTCTTCACCTCCCTGTGTTTTTTTCAGGCTTTCCTACTCGGCCTGCTGAAGTAGCTATTCCTTCTTTCCTCGGGACCTGATCGCAGATGGGGCTCTTAATCCAGTGTTGTGTCTTCTTGTGTGTCTGCCTTGTCAGCCCAAAACTATGTGGACTCCATGACAAAGATTGCCTATTGTTTTTTTTTTCTGGTAAATTACCAGTAAGACTCCTCCTAAATTCTTGTTAAAGGTAATTTATAAGTTCTAACAAATCAATGGAGTAATCTGACTTTCTCTTTTTTTTTCCCACATAACATGGTACCTCCAGCGAGGCCTGCTTGTACTAGCAGGGTAAGCTCAGTGGGCAGCAGTCTTGAAAAGTAATCTTAGTATTGTCAGTCATGACTTCTGAGAGGCATAAAAATATTACAGATCCTTAAGATGGTCAGTTTGGAACAAGAAAGTGCTTTCTTGGCTTACACACAACCCTGTCCCCAAGTACTGTGGGTTATAATAGCATTTTGTCAGGTTTGTTAGTCAGAAATGGAAAAATACAGCATGACTAATCTCCAGGGCTGCCAAGCAAGCTGTGTACATGTGATACTGAAAGACCTGGGACTTCCCAGGAGGGGGATCATCCAGTTCAGAAAGGTGCCTGAGGATTATGGAAACCTACTGCCTCGTCACTGTGCTGACACTCCTCACCCTTCCTATGCAGGCTCACCCCACAGCATGAGCCCTCGCAGGGCCACAGGGATTGTTCTATGCTTGTGCTCCCTTTCAACACCTGTAATTTAAAGGTAGGCAAGCAGCTGAGTACACACCGGATACGTAAAAGATAAATAACATTGGAAGCACAGCCTCCGTCTAGTTTGACAGGTTCAAGTCAGGCTGTTGCTTCCCATAGCAGGCTGTCCCAGATCAAAGGGCTTGTACTGTTCCCTGGCCACAGTTTTTTTAGGACAGGGCTACAGCACTAAGCACACATCCCGCTCGTAACTCAACACCCAGCAATTATTTATGGACCTTCTTTTGGGGAGAGTTTGCCTGCTTCCGAGGAAATGGGCCATGATTACTGGGAGCCTGGCAGGCAGGTGTTTCCTGTGATACCTAGAAAAAACCTGACTCTGACAAATTGAACAATCACCCAAACACAAGATTGATGCTTGTACATATACTTATTGTTCTCTAACCTTTTTGAACAGCCAGGGTGACTGAAGGTATCTTGATTTAACGATATGACTGTACAAACAGTCAATGGCTTGTTTTGAGCATGGACTGGTGTGGAGAAAATCACTGCGCTGAAAAGTAATTGAAGACTTTCCAGAAAGCAGTAGCTTTCTGTGGCTGTGAAAGCCATTCACTGTTTGGATAAATTAAGCTATTAGGCTTAATACGTACTTACACCTTCCCTTATCAAAACTGCCACTGGAGGTAATGAAGAGAAGGTAGCTGCGCTGTTTTGATCTTGGGAGAGCAAACAAAGGTGCTACAAGCTATTGCTTTTTGCATGTTCAGTGAATGGCGCTTCAAGGCTGTTAGATGCAGATCTGTCATGACAGCATCAGAGAAATCTTCCTCCAGCAGCTGCTCTGCTTAGGCATCCATCTATTTGAAAAACAAACAACAAACTATAAACGGAATGCCTCCTGCTCTTCACTGGCTCTTCAGTGTGTGTTTTGGGGGAACAAGCAATTTGTTGTCTAAAGACTGGAAATTCTAACTCACTTGAGGGAGTCAGACTGCTGCCCCAACAAGCATTTTGCCAGCTATTGCTCAGCTGTGTGCTGCCACCCTCACATCTTGGGTATCTTGTAAAGCCTCCAATGATGCAACAACTCCGATTTCCTCAAGGACAAAAAGACTGGACAGTGCAGATGAAGAGACAACACAGCCAGTACACACACGTCTCACTGCTGGCGTCTGCCTCGGTGCCCGGAGCAGTGTAACGAGCCCTGCAGCTATGGCAGGAGGACAAAGCACTGGGTTTGGAGCCTGCTCAGGCACTGGGTCAGTGGTGACTTTACAAGACTTGGGCTACCTCCATGGAGGTAGTTTCTGTCCGCCTTCCTTTGTGTGCTCACTGATGCTGACTGATCTCTGGAGAAACACACAAACTTGCTGCTTTGTGTGAATCCTCCTGTAAAAGAAATGCCTGTAACAGAAATATTTCTTTTGGAGTAAATAATACTGATTGGCTTTGTCTTTACACTGGGGGGGACGGGGACACACCAACATTCACAGGCTGTCCTCTGAGACCAACCAACCCAAATTCAGGCTCCTTTAATTTAGCCTCTAGGGCTGTAATCTGGCCTTTGCTGTGTAAGTCACAGCGTGACATTTTGTAATCGCAAGGCCGTGGTCAGTGGTAATGGCAGGCTGAAAAGGTTAAACCCTGTTTGCCTTTCTACCATTGTTCAGCTTTGAGTCATTTCCGTGCTGTGGAGCTGAGAGAGGCTGGACCTTACAGGGGCGTGCTTTGTGGCCTCAGTTTGGGATCTCACGTCTGGTGTGCTGGGGCCTGACCTGCCCAGGCAGGGCTGTGGCCAGAGCATAAGATTTTGTACCAATCTGCTGTTGTCCAGGGGGAATTAGGGTAGCAGGCTTGTACCGTTCTCCCAGTCTCATTAGGAATAGCCCCTGAATTCTGTTCAGGGGATCCAAAGAACACACGTAGCCACATTGTTTACCTGAATGCCACCCACACTAAATGAAGTATCTACTCCAGAATACATGTATTAAAAAAAATACCCACCTAAAGTCATTGAAACATAATTATTAAAACCTTTTATGTTACTCTACAGTACAATGTAAATTGTTCCTTTCAATTAAATTTTGAAATACACTAGATTACATCATTTAAATAATCGCAAACTTTTAAGTTCACTATTAGTGGTAGCAGAGCTATATTTACATATACTTCTGAGATATTTCAGATGCAGTGTTATGTTCCAGTCCCTAAGTCAGTTAAATAACAGACATTCAGTGAGGGTATACTGCTCTTCCACAGGTTCTACACATATTTGGGGTGTTTGTGTGAGAGAGCAAGAACTCCTTTTATTCTTGTCTGGGTTTTTTTTTGCTGTGTGCATGCAGCTGTATGAGAGCAAATTGATACCTACTTGATTTGGATTAAAGACCTTTCTGTTTAAACAAGCATTCTGACTGAATATACAGAGGTGAATAATGAAATATAATCCTTAGGAGTAGTGGTGGAAAACAATTTTCTCCAACTCTCCTCCCCTGTTGCATAATACTGCACCTAATTTTGACCCTGACTTTACCTAATGCTGATGAAATATAATCAATGGTGGAAACCTCTCTCATGTTGTCAAGACTGGCTTTGAACACAATCCATGCAATGGCAAGCATCATATATTATTCTCCCGCAGTGCAATATTAACAAGTTAAACTCAGTATTTTCCTCCAGAGATCTGCTCCTCAAGGGAAGCCCACTTCTGCATGTACATCAGCCACAAACAGGTTGTGAGTCCTGAGGCCGGAGACCAGAATTAGGCTGCAACACTTGCTTGCAGTGCTGCTGAGAGTCTTCGTGGGCCAGGCTCCTCCCTGTGCTGTCCATGGAGCAGAGCAAGTTCTAGCCACCAAGGCTCTTGAGGGTCCTTGCGTGTGGCACTGGTCAAGCCAAGTCTCCTTGCGTGCTGCCCATGCAGGGCTTAGGGCCTGGTGTGAGGGGTGCTGATCATGATATTGGGCAGCGCATTCCGCCGCTTCTTCCAGGAGCCCAGCTCCCTCGAGTACCGCCTGATCTGCCTGAACCAGTGGTGAGTCCGTGCCCGGTCGCTGTCCCGGAACACAAATGCCTCCCGCCTGATCTCAATAAGTTCAAAAGTGTCATCGCAGTCAGGATCAGTGGAGACAATGCAATTACTCAGCCTCAAGGGCTCCCTGAGCAAATGGAACTTCCCGTTATTTTTGTCCCTGATGAGTACTAGCACGGCGTCCTTCACAGGCCCTGGCTCGGCTGACTCCAGGCTGGACTCGGACACACGCTTCATGTTCACCAGGAGGAGGACCTGCATGTTCTGGAACTTCAGGGTCTTGCTGCCTTTCTTCACCCACTGGCCGTCGGGGGGCTGGGCCAGCTGCAGAGACCCCTCCATCACAAATCGCGTTTCCTCCCGCAGCCAACCTACAGTTTTGAGGGCAGTTTCTCTCATCTCAATGTTGATGACTTCCCTCTTCTTCTTGCTGTCCTGGCGAAAGGATCGGAGGGTCCACGTGTTCCCCTCCTGCTTGGTTTTCATGTTGATGTGCTCCAGGTGGGACTCGATGCGGCTCTTGGCCTCCCGCAGGCTGCCATGATCTGGGTGGTACTCAGTGGTGGCCTTGATGATTCTGCTGAGCAGCAGTGGGTACTTGGTGACTCTTTGCAAAGGGGCCATCAGGAAGGACCTCAAGTTCATCCGCCGCAGTGCTGTGTTGTCGTTCTGGGAGACATTAAGGAATATTCTGCAGGGATTTAAGAAGAGGGAATGAAATGGTGGCTGTTCTGCCAGCAGGTGCTGCAATCCTAAATGCAAATGAACAGTGTGGTGCTGACAGCTGCTGCGCACCGTGCTGTTTTAACAGCCTTGTGAACACGGTCTTCTCAAAAACTAACAATTTCTGCAGCTGTGCTCAGCTGCAGAACAGCGATGAGGTGCCTGGGACACTAGCACATAACATCCTGGCAGTCTTCTATTAATGTTGTAAAACAACAAGGGTGTGATCTTTCTCTGGTACACACTGACGTAGGCCCAAGGCAGATACGTCTTCTTATATCAGATTACATTAATTTGTAACTCCTTTCATCATTAGATTACAAAGACAAAGCAGTCTACACAAGAATTTGGTACTGTCGTCATTTTAAGCTGTTGCAGTGGAAAGAGAAGTGACTTGCCTCACGTTGCCCAGTATGCCAGGGCTAGGAATGGGAAGAAAATTCAAGTCATACATGCTTCACACAGTGGCTTTCCCCCCCACCTAGCGCAGGGACTGAGAGCTGCTCTCAGCTGGGTGTTCAGCGCAGTGGTCAGTGGGCAAACACTGGTACCACAAAATACATTATACAGCTGGGGTCCAACTGGCTGCCTCGGTGGAGATATCAAGGCTTGAATATCTTTTGGAGAATAAATTACTCCCCTCACCCCAAGAGAGAGCAGCTCAGCACTGACAAACATTAGCATCAAAACTTTGATCTTGTTGAGCTGACAAACAAAGGCTTTGCCCTCAACCTGGTGCCTTCTTGTCACCAAAGCCTGGAAGAATACGCTCATCCCTTTTCTCACCTGAGCAACTCTTTCTCCTTCTCCAGCGCATTGAGCATATTCACGGAGGAGGACTGCTGGAGACAGTAGGTCTGAAAGGCTGGCAGCATGTTGACGAACTCTAGAAATATTTCGCCGATGCACACGGTCATCAGGTCGTCATCACCCTGCAAGCATGCAATACAGCCCCTGCTGGGTTAGCTCAGGAGAGGCACAAGCACAGACCTGCGTTCAGTCCTATCAGCATGAACCTACTGCAGGGTCTGGTGAACACCAGACCGAAGGTGGAAGTGGGCTCACCCTTCCTGGTGGAAAGGCAGGCCCTGCAGGCCCGGGGCGAAGCAGTGAGTGGGGAGGGGAAGGAAAGCTGGTCTACCTGCTTGCTCTTCTATACAATAGAGAGATGTCTTCTCTGATTCTGTGGGCTCAGCCAGCTCACCAGAACAGGGGCTCAGAGGCCAGAGTGAGCCTGCTAGTCGGGAGGGTGTACAGGGGCCCTTGCTGCCAGCAGGTCTGCCATAAGGCTAATGAAGCAGTGCATAAATTAACAGAGAGCATTTAGGAACAAATGGGCAGAGGAGGCCTGTAACTTAGGTAACAGACATGGCACTTAGCAACTTCTGCAGTTGTTCCCAGCAACTGGTCTGGCTGGGAAGCAGTCTCCTTCAGTTGTGCTCTTAGTGGCTACTTTGATGCCTAGGTGAAAAATAAATTTCATGCTAAATTGTTCTCTGATTTCTGGAGACGAATAAAATAAGGCAATAGTAAGAATTTGGTGCCACATAATGCTCTTAGCTTTGTCTAGGTGTATGCTGACATGCTCTGCAATCACTAGCATTTGAGCAGCGAGAGAGGGAGCAGCTCCCTGGCTCCCTGTGGCTTTTTGGTGCAGTACTGAGCTCTGACTGCAAAGGGCAACATGGAGGAGGAGATAGGGCAAACCACGGCTATTTGTAGAAGCTGTTGTCTCAACAAATGATTCACAGGGGACATCACACCTACAGTGCACATCTGTCTTCACTGTGCCAGGTGCCTGAGAGTGGTTGTCAAAGTTGACAGTTTTTGAGACATGTGTTGCTCAGTCTGACATGCAGGGTTTCAGAGAGGGAAAGGAGGAATGTTTCCCAGAGAGCAAAACATCCCAGTGAGACTGATACAGCAACAAGTGGGGTTTGGTTTCTTGAAGAAAGGAGGGTGTGGAGCTTATGTGTCCTTTGCAGTGATTGTCTGCTGCTCAAGAGTCTTATTTTCATTTCTCTGCCGTTTGACCACCACGCTCATGGGGTAGGAAAGTCCCTTGTGCAAGGCAGGGTGCATCAGTAGAAGCAACTGGTACACACAGCTGTAAGGGCCAATTATCACCAGAGCAGGGAGCAGCCTGTGCTGCCTGCCCCTGCAGCCAGCCTAGAGGCAAGCTGCAATAAACAGCAACCCAAGGCAAATACACCCAAGCCAGCCTGAGGCGAGCCAGCTCAGCGTTGGGCAAGAGCATGGCCCGGTAGCTTGGTCCCCTCCATCCCTCTGGTGGCCAGACCAAGTTGAGCTCTGTGCCCCCATGGTCACACACTTATCGGTGTAGTGTCAAAGCTAACTGGCTTAGAGCTAACTTTGGTAATGGGACAGTTAGATCCTGTTAATGCAATAAATGAGCTAGACTGCTGATGGCCTGCCAATGTCAGTGGCATTACCAGAGCTGAGAGTGAGGCCAGCAGCTGTGACCTAGCACAGGCCTATGGAAATCACTGGTTTATAGTAGCTGAGGGAGGAAGGGACTGGACAGATGACCAGAACCTAGGTGTCCTACCTCCTCATCCCCTGCTCCATCTATGCTGCTTCACTAATGCAAAACTTATTCCTGTCTGCCTGGTCCAACCCCTGTAGAGCACGCAGCATCATACCTGGTCAAAGGCCTGATCAATCTCTTCCTGGAGTACTTCCAAGAAGTTCTCATTGAGGTCGATGAGCTCCTGGATGTTGCTGAAGATGCCCAGGAGCTGCTCCTGGCTCAGCAGCCCAGCTGCCTGCATGGGGAGGTAGAACTCCTCTTTGATGATGCGCAGGTCCTCTCCATAGCTGGCCTCCGTGTTGACAAACTCCAGCACAGACTCCTTGCGCTCTGTCCTGCGCTTGCGGCACTTCTCACAGAGGTCAGCCCGCCTCTGATTGCAGTTCTGCACATCCGTCTCCACCGGGAGGTCCCTTTCTCCGCAGTCAGTGCAGGGACGGTGGGCTTCCCAGGCCTGCAGGGAGCTCAGCGTTTCAGACGCCCTGTTCCTCCACCTTCTGGCTGGCATCTGGCCAATGCCACTATCCGCCCTCTCCACATCCGCTGACTTGGTCCGGGTGGCCTCACTGGGATCCAGGTTGTCCCGGACATCGTTCATGCCAACAATCCCACTGTCCGTGCTCAGGCTGCTGACATTGCTCCAATGATGTCTGGAACGGAGGGAACCACGTGGGGCACGGCGGGTCTCATCAAAGCTGCCACCATGGCCAAGGTTGGCTTTTGCTACCACTGGACCTGAGAACAAACACAAATCATTGCAGGCACTTCCAGATGCACAGAGCTCACATGAGGAGCTCAAGCTGGCACAGCCATGAGTGTCAGGAACCCTCGTGGGGGAGATCTGGTGAAAGCAGGGCTGTTAGCTGACTCCCCTCCTGTTTTGCTGCTGGGAAAGGCAGGGGTCAAAAGTAAATGGTTCCCAGGTGAAACAGGTCACCCCTACTCTGCTCATACCTGTGAACTCATTTGGTGTCTCTCCCCTGCTGCCATCTGCCAGGCAGGGACTGAGACACAGCAGAGTAGATCCTGATTTCTTGCACACTTGGGTTAAACCCAAAACATTTCCCTCCCCCAGGTCATTGGAGTCACTCCATATTTACACCAGTGTAGCAGGGCTCAACATCTGGCCCATCAACCCCCTCTAAGTGTGCAGAATGGGGGTACCGTAGTCTCGCTCCTGCCGGCGCTTCTGTGCGTGCTGCCGTGCTGCAGCTGCAATCTTCAGCTCCAGCTGCTTCCTCTTCACTGAGTCCGTCGGCATAGGGTCACTGAAGTGCGGCCGCAGCCGGCACTCCCGCTGGGCCTTGGCACCATCCGTGCTCTCATGGACGATGTCAGAGCTGGATCGGCGGCAGCCGGGACTCAGGGTCTGCAAGAAAAGCAAGTGGGTTTGGAGCAAGGAGGTGGTCAAAGCAGCGCCTGGTTTGCAACCACTGGACTGCAGTTGCCAAGGAGGGAAAAGGCAATTCGTCATCAGTGTAAATGCAGCTCTGCTACATGGTCATTAGGAAATCTATCCCCCCAGGTCCTTCTGTCTTGCTTAGTCATAACAGCAAGAGCCCCTCGCCCTCTGCTGTAGTGTAGCTCTGAATAGAGTGGCTTCATGGTGGCTGGATCAAGGCTGTAAAATAACCATGAAGAAAGAAGTCAACAGCATAGTCCCGGCTAAGGGCCTAAAGCAGGTCTAAGCCTGTCCTGCAGGGATCTGAGCTAGCTTGCCTCTGTTCTGTGAACATTTCAGCGCTGTGGGGTCAGGAACTCCAGCCTCTGCGCCTCACCTACATTAGCGGGGACGAGGAGGGAGTCTGTCTGATCCCTCAGGCAGTCCAGCAATGAGGGTCTGGAGGCACAGTGAAAGCCATAAAGGAGTTACGGCTGAACTCCCTGCAAGAGATGCAGCAGCAGATAGGCAAGGGCACAGACCTGACTCCTGTTTCATGAACTGTAATAAAAAAGGCACTAGAAATGCTTCTAACAGAGTTTAATTGCCCATGGGAGTTGGTGTGATTTCAGATCCCAGGCTCCCAGTCTGCCCAGTTCCTACTACGAAGGGATCCTTTAGAATGATTCTGTGATTCTATGATAAGAAAAAAGTCCTAAACGCATGCTCAAGATGAGAGGGGAACTCCTCTCCCTTACATTCCCTGCAGGTGGAGTGTCGCTGGATGTCTTATTGCTTGGCTTGTCCTCCCAGGTCTCCGTTGCCATGGACATTGCTGTGGGCTGCTGGCTGTCCTCCGGAGGTGGGAGATCAGCTTCCCTCAGATCACACTGTCCCTTGGAGCGGGATTTGGCAGCAGTCTCAGCATTGCAGCTGCAGGGGAAGAAGCAGACTTTAATGAACATGGCGTATGCAGTTCACCTGCCATTCCTGACACAGATAAGACTGAGCAGCAAGCCCAGGTTTGAACAACCAGCCGCAACCGTTCAGGAAAAGTGTAGGCAGGAATCTAGACTGGTCAGCACGGATGGCTGTGCGTGTGTTTCAGGGGCTCTAAACACCGCTCAATTATAGCAGTGCAAATTCGGTAATTGCACTCACACCAGCATCAGTCTGGGATATCAAGTCTCGGATGTTCACAGGGTATTTTTATGTCCATAAAACATGAGGTTCTCCCATAGGGACCAGAAAAACCTCTTTCTAAGTAGGCCATATCCATATTTGCTGGTATTCAAAGAGCTGTTGTCAACACAGAAACCATGTTGCTCATCTGGAAGAAAATCACCTGCTAAAAACCATAATACTTTGAAAAGATTAGAGGATTAAAGGAGCTTTCCCTCTGTTTTTCATCTCATATGATCCCAAGCCTGCTGAAACCACTGGAAAGATTCCCTCTGCTTCCAGTGAACTCAGGCCTTTTGGTGCACTTAAGAGTCCTGAAAAAATTGGCAGAGTCTGTTATTCTCACTTGGCAATTCTGTGATGCCCTTATTCAGGGCTGTCTGGTGCTAACAAGGGCCTGGCCTGGATGATACAGGCAGTCTGTTCCTACCCCATGCCCCTCTCTCTGTAGACAACACCACCTCTCCAGACAGATAGACTCTGGTACAAAACCACTGACTTGACAGAGTAGTTGACAGGCTGTAGTTTGTGATACTACTTGTGATACTTTTTTTTTTTTAACAGACTCTCTAAGACCTTATTTCCATGCATAATGAAGCCTGCTTGGAAGAATATTATTTTTTTAATCTTTATGGGCTCAGATTCTTTTAAAAAGAAAGGTTGTGAGAACTGGATATGGATGCTTGTACATAGAGGAAGCCAGAGTCTGGAACATATTCCAGGATATGCATGTATTTTATGCTTAACAAAAGTCTCCTATGACAAAAATCTGCTGCTTCTTAAAGGCTTCGCTTGTGAACTTATGCTTCTAGGTCATACTGCTAATGTGCAATTCCAACACTGTCAGCTACAAGCAAACACAAGACAGATGGGCATTTTCTTTATAATGAATGGCAGTTGGCTCTGAGAACAAACCTTCAGCCAATACTGAAATCGCTGAAGAGGGAACAAATCTCCCAGAACACAAACTGGCTCTGTTGTCAGGCCAGAAAAGTTGGTTTGCAACTTTCCAGCTGATGCTTTTTCATCTTCCTCCATTTATGCTTCCATGTCCCAGCTGACACTACCAGAGGATTTACCAACTTAAAAAGAGTCTAGCTGCAGCTGCACAGCAACAGCACAGTGCTAACAGCGTGCTCCTGGCTTTTACTTTTTGCTGTGCTAACTCCCTGCCATGTGGATTTGGAAGCATCACTTCTCCCCTCCAGGTCTCTTCTACTCAGCCTGTAGAAAGGGGATACCAACATCAGTGCTGTCACAGAGCAGTCTGTAGTACAGACTGCATTATCCCCCTTACAGGGTTGCAGTAAGAGCAGCACAGGCACACACCAAGGCTATGGTCCCACCCCAGTACCATCCTGGCCCAGTCCAGCTTAAGAGGTTCCTGTCTCCTCCCTCCCATCCCCACCCACATGTGGGGTACCACTCCTTCAGCCAGTCCAGTGTAACTGTCTGTGTGGCCATGATCTAAAATCAGTCTTGATCTGGGTTTAAAAAAATACCCTCTCTCACATATTCCCAGCCAGATCATTTCATCAATATTTCACTGAGTTGGGGAAAGTATGAACAGTTCAGCTGGGCACACCTGTGGGAGGGAAGGCAGAGGTTAAGGTGCAAGAAAGCTCTTGAAGAGGATCTGCCACTGCCAGAAGACCATTTCCAAAAGCTGCTCCTGCTCAAACAGCTTCTGGTTGAAACATGCTGAAGGGACCATGCTGAGGCACAGAGGGGCAATGGGATGTGTCCAAGGTCAGCAGCAGAGCTCAGAACTGGAACATTATCTTCTCCAGATCACACCAGCTCTCACCATACAGACCATACTCTCAGAGAGAAGCTGAGCTTTCATTTGTCATTTTTACAGTGCTTCAAGATCATCCACTTAACCATGGAAAGTACTCCAGAATATTACTGCTCCGCTAAGTGAACCTGACAGCAGCTCTCTGCTGATAAGGTCTGCGGACCAGATGCCATTGCTTATTGTGGTTTCCATAACCCAATAAGGATATTTTAAAAAAATCTCCAGACGTGACCTGCAGTGGGAATAATGGCCAATACTACCTAGAGAGCTGAGCTAAGCAAGTGTGACTGGAGACTGAGAAACTCAACCCACCCCGTGGTTGGTCAGCTAGATAAGAAAGGCAATGATGCAGAGCCCACATTGTGTGAAAGGAGATTTCTTCATCCCTGGTTTGACTGCTCTACTTTTAGTTGTGATTAGATCCCTCCTGCATGAGGTATTGTCCATGCCATGTGGGGGTAAGTGCTGCTCCACAGAGCAGCTACTGTGTGCCACACCACCAGTGCTATCAGAGGGATGTAGACAAAACAGGGAGAATACAAGCAGTTTTACAGAACCAAAACTTAGGGCTGCTCCTTTAACCTTTGCCCCTGGCTTAGGAGGAAGAGGGGACATTGCCAAGAAAACAGGGATATTGCCCCTTCCTCCCGTCCGCTCCCCCTGGCAGATTTGGGCTGTCAACAGGTCTATGCCAACGCCTGCTCAAGCAGTCCCCTCTGCTCTCATGCAGAGCTGCAGAAGTGGGGACTCTGGCATGTTTCTTTCTGTGGGATCAAATCACTTATCAGGGTAGGAGTTTTCTGCCTGAGGTTGGTGTTGGTTTTTCTGGTTCTCTCCAAGACAGCTGATGCACTTGGGCCAGCACAGGGAGGACAGGTTCTTTCTGAATGTCCTTTTAAACCTCTGGGCCATCATCTCTGAATCTCATGGAAGCAGAGGCACTGGGTGTGCGGTGTACAACTGGAAACACACCTGCTTTCCTTCATGGTCTCTGTGGGATTCTTCATGGTTGTATCATTGTCCAGGCCAGCAGTTCTCAGCCCTTTCCACATGTTCCTGACTCCTTCTAACTAATGGAAATATTTTCATCCACTCCTTCCCTGCTGGCACCTGCCTTCCAGACTATCGGAAGCTGTTATTGTACCCATCATCCTGGTGTCATGCCAAATACACCCCACCACTCTTTTCAGGAAGCCTTTTTTCTTAGTCATGTCCTTTGCTTCCTTGTGCAGGTTTTTGTTGTCACCTTGTCCGCCATTTCATAGACAGGAACTCCAGGTCCTTGCACATCCTTATCCTGAACAACTCACTGCTTAAACAAGTTCAGAAAGTAGACTACAGGATTTCCACCTAGATCTCCACACCCCTTCCCCACCAGGACTACAACCTAAGTTAAAGGTATCCAGTGACCTATGAGGAGGCTAAAGCCACCATAATTCTGAAGCTGAAAAATCAAATCTTCACTGATGAAATATTAAGCCATTTGAACAAGTCCTAAGTAATTAACTATTAATTACTAGGGAGGCAAATAACTTACCAGACAAAACTGCTTTGTAAAACTGTAACACTTACACAGAAACACTGCAAAGAGAAGACACTTTCAGCTATCTCATTCTGTGACGCTCTATCACAACATCTCTATCAAAGGCTTGCTGAGCTGAGTACCTGTGGAAATGGGACCACATCCCAAGCTTTCAGCTCATTTCATTTGAGACTTAGAAAAAATGTGATCTGGATGTCAGTGATCATAATTTAGGACCCAAAACATCCAGACAAAAAGAATCAGCTTGAGTTATAAATGAATATTCTGGCACTTTACAGTCTTGGGTGAAAATGATGGAAAATTGAGAAATTTCCAGACAAAGGAAACTGGAGTTTCCCACTAACCAGTACTTTGGCACAGCCAACAGATTTGTCTTCCTCCTGCTAGCCTGAAGAAATGAAAAACTTTACCATTAACCGTTATTACTACGGAAAATAAACAAGCCAGGGTGGGTCCTTCACATGAAACAACCTCTCTAATACTGGAACCACTGTCATTCTCATGTTTAGATCAATTACCATTTTGTTGTTAATAAATTCACCTCATATATTTTAACAAATCCAACTAGGGAGACTGAACACATTCACAGAAGTAAAAACCACTGCGGATATTAAAAGCACAGAAACCACACTGAAACCGTAAAGGCCCTGGGCAGAAAGTGTTTGGAGGCTGGGAGAGCAGTAGGAAGAAAGATCATACACACTACCCAGTTCCTGTACGCTTTGCTATGCATGCTCCTTGGGCTCCAGATACTAGTCAAACTTTTGATCTGCCCAGAGATAGCCCTTCTTATGCTCTTACTCATGGCTTGTGCCATTCTGTGTATTTCATTTCACATCAACAATAAAAATAGCCTACTCAATGAAAATGCTTGTATACCGTAACTTTTTCATCTGTTTCTTCATTAGGTTTTCGTTATTTGGAACAAAAGCACAAAGGCTGGGCTGGGCAGCTGAAGGAAGCATTTATGGCTCTGACACCACCTATTTCCCTTTTGATTATGAAGTTGCAGAAGTATTTCTGCTTGTCACTCTGGCTCTGTCTACATGGGGAGCTTCAACTCCACAGAATTTCTTTCTGATGACTCTCATTCCTGTGCAGAAGTCACTATTACCTCCTCTAAAACCTGAGTCTCAGTCTCAGAGCTCTAGCATCTCAGAAATACCAAGACAGTGCACAAGGTTGATGCCCTGGCATTTCACACACCACATTGTTGGACATCAGAAGCAGCCAGGAACCAAGTCAAATGTAATTTTTGGCAAAGCCAAGCATATGGAAACAAACCACTCCACCAACATTTACTCTTTTTCCCATCAGCCTTTTCTAGTGATAAGACAGTGATAACTGCCCCAGATTCCTAGCTTCCAGAGCTTTCATGATTCCTCTTGAGCCACCTGCTTGCACAGAAAGGGATCCTCATTTCTTTGGCAGGAAGATAAAGCAAGCAGTCCTTGTGACCATCTTTCTTAC